CGTTGCCCGCAGCAAGTGCGGGCACTCACGGCCTCAGCAAGCAGGGCTCAGGCCCCTCTCCTCGTCCTCATCCTCCTCTTCCTCCTCCTCGCTGTGGGCAGATAGGTTTTTCCTCTTTACCTGTCGCTGGGGGGTGCTGCTCTCCAGGGGGCTTGGAGAGTGACACTGTAAACATGGCTTCTTGGCGTGCTGGCGGCAAGGCTGTGTGCCTGAGTCACTGCCCGGGGAAGGCACTGAGGTAGACCGGGGGGAGGCCCCCGAGACCCCGTCCACCGAGTCTGTGGGACTCGCGCTGCAGATGGAGGAGTACCCCGAGGTCACACTGTCCTTGCCTGGCTCCCTCCTGCCGTGGAGCAGAGGCTGGGGCCCCGGGCTCGGAGGTGTCTGGGTGCCTGGTACGTAGGCGCGCACATCCTGGCGACCACCGGCCTCCGGGCAGGCCTCCTCGTCGCTTGATTCCTGGCAGCAGTGCTGTTCTGGGTTTAGATAGACCACGGTGACGTCGAGGATGCCGCTGGGTGCTGTCACTGTGGGAGACGTGGGGAGAGAGGTGAGGCGCTGAGCACTGAGTACCCCCTGTCCAGTCAGGAACCCCCAGGGGCCCGTGTCTGGACCTCGCTGCACAGCCCCCCGTACCGCTCTCCTTTGGGCAGGAAGGAGGTGGAGGGGGCCTCTCAAGGTGACGTGGGGGACGGTAGGAAGTGACAATAAACTGATCATCAAGAATCTATTTAATCCCCAGTGGACACAAGAGCAAGCAACCGGAAAGTCAGCAGAAACGGCCAGACCTAGGGTTCCTGTGTGTTTAGCTGCCCCAAAACACAGGGACGGAGCCTCCCACAGGTGGCCCTGCAGACGTGCACAAGGCACAGAGGCCAAAAGAGCGGTGGCCGGCACACGTCACACAATGTTATGTGGGTTCCAGGCAAGGTCTCTTCTTCTTCCCCTGCCCTGGTGAGGTCCTTCCATCAACACGGGCCTGGCTGGGGCTGGAGAAAGGTCATCTCTCCTCCCCAAGGGCTGAGAGGATGCCCGCTCCACCCTGGCCCTGCTGTGCTGTTCTAGGGGCTCTGCTGCCTCACGCCTGCCTGTGTGCAGATGCGCTGTCCTGCAGGCGAGGCAGGGGTCTGGCGTGAGACCCCCACCCCTGGAGCCTGAGGCACTCACCGTCACCGTCCTTCTCGCCCTCGCTCTCCTGGTCACCCTCGTAGCCCGAGCAGTAGTCCAGGCTCCAGTCCAGGAAGCTGCCCAGCAGCACCTCCTCCTGGCTGGACAGCTCCGCGGTGGGCGTGGTGACGAAGCTGCCCCTGTCCTCCTGGAGGCTGTTCTCCCGCTTCCTGCGAGGTGGGAGAGCCAGGGGCCGGGTCACGGTGGGCCGCAGCGTGGGAGCCTGCCCTGGCCCAGCGGGCGGTGCACAGGGACGACAGGACGACACAGCTTCCCGGCTGCCTGCCCTCAGGAAGCTCACGTCAAAGGGTCAGAGAGGCGGGGCCACAGCACCGTGACAGTCAGCACAACAGGACTTTGCAGGATCACCGGGAGTTCCTCAGGTGGGTAAGTGGGGAGGGCAACTTATCCCAGGTGGTACAGCCAGGACATGGACGCGGGGGACACGTGTGGACATGCTCGTGACATGAGGGTGGAGATGGAGGGAGCCAGGGAAGCGCCCAGGACAGTAATCAGGCAGCAGCTGCGGGGTCAAGAGTGACAGCAGTGCTGTGGGACAGGGTGGCCGGCACACATCTGACAAGTGGCGGGGCCACAGGCTGAGCTGGGTCCACCCTGGCTCAAGACCTTCCTCCCTGAGCGGGAGCCAGGTTAAAGCAAGAAGCAAGAGAGAGAGCTGCTCCGGAGGGAGAAGGTGGAGTGGCAGGCGGGCAGGATCGGGCCCGGCTGCATTTTTTGCGGGCCCTGCTGCTTCTCCTTGCTACGCCTCAGGAGCCCCCTGCCTAAAAGGGGGGAATGGAGCCCCTCAGGCAGCTGCAGCGGTCACAAGGGAAGCCAGGCCCAGTGCGCAGGAGCCGACGCTGCGTTGCGCTGTTGCAGAACGGGGTTCACTCACCGCTTGGTTCTTCTTCCCGACGGAGAGCTGAGGAAGGCGTGAATGTCCCCCGCGCTGAGGAAGGACGTGGGCTCCGGGCTGCCTTGCTTCACGCCCAGAGCTGCGCACAGCTGCCCGTAGCTCAGCACCTGAAACGAGGCCAGGGTTAGACGGATGAGGCCCCGGGGGCAAGCGTCTGGGGGTGGGAGGTGGGGGCGGGAGCACCTCTTCCCGGCTGATCTCTTCGTAGCGCTTGTCCTCGAATCGCTGCTTCACGGCGGTCAGAGAGACTTGCCTGTAGTCCTTGGGGGCGTCGTCGTGGAAGCTGCAAACAGAGGGACACGTGAGGGACAGCGGGGCCACATGCAGGGCTCTGGGGCATGCCTGGAGGGCAGATGGGGCACCCTGCGGCTGCACAAACAGGTAAGCGTGCAGTGACTCATGACCCAGCAATTCCGCTCCCAGCAGTGTTATTCGCAGCAGCCAAAGGGGTGGAAACCCCGATGTGGTCCGTCCATGCAGCAGAATGTGATTCTAGAGGAACATTACATAGGTGACAAGCTGGCCACAAGGGGCCATGTGATGTACAATTTCATTTCTGGGAAGTGTCTGAAATGTTCAGAACAGGCGAACCCACAGAGACAGAGAGCAGAGGAGTGGCTGCGGGGTTGTGGAGGGATGGGACGGATGGGCAGCACGGGCATGACTGCTGAGGAGTGCAGGGTTTCTCCGAAGGAGGAGGCGATGTTCTAAAATTGACGTAGTGATAGTCACACAACTCTGAACACAAATCGCACACTTAAAAAAGTTTAGTTTGTGGGGCGCCTGGGTGGCTCAGTTGGTTAAGCGTCCGATTTCAGCTCAGGTCATGATCTCACAGTCTGTGAGTTTGAGCCCCGTGTCAGGCTCTGTGCTGACAGCTCAGAGCCTGGAGCCTGCTTCAGATTCTGTGTCTCCCTCTCTCTCTGCCCCTTCCCTGCTCATGCTCTGTCTCAAAAATAAATAAAAACATTTAAAAAAAATTAAAAAAAAAAAGTTTAGTTTGTAAATAAATGTTCCCAACTTATCTGGTAGGGAAATAAAAAACTCGGGAGGGGAATAGCCTAACAACTTTTGGGAGGCAGTATCAGGTCAGCGTGGTTTGCACCCCTAGTGTGAGCGGCTGTGGGGTCAGACACACACGCTGACCCCTCAACCTTCACCCGTGCTCGCCGCCCATCAGCTGTGAGCGGGCACAAGAGAAAACTCATGAAGGACACGCCAGCCCCAGGAGATGCTGCCAGGCTCCTCACGGCTGGACTCACAGCTGGAGCGGGGACCAGCAGCAAGCACCGTCTATGAGGAGCAGCAGCCCCGGGGCAGGGGGTGTCTGGCCCGGACAAGCCGGCGGGGGATCCGGGGCTCAGGTCAGAGGTTGGGGTCTAGATGTTCTGGATCCCAGAGGTGTCCGAGGACAGGCAGAAAGCGGGAGCACCCCAGGCCTGCATGCAGGGAAGAGGGCACTGAGTGCGGCCTGGCAGAGGGAGGAGGTTGCCGCGGGTTTGGGCAGATAAGCACGTGTCAGGAGCGGGGACCAGAGCAGAGGGGGAGCAGGGCCACGGCACGGGGCGATCGCGGCCGGCCGACTCCTGAGCGAGATGACACCGTGTCCCACGCTAACACTATCAGGGGTCAGGCGGCGGGCCCCGATGTTCCCCTGCCCGTCTGCCACCTGTGGAGTGAGGCTCGGGCTGGGAGTTGTTGCACGCGCATCAAGTGTTATCACTGTGGAAACGGGCAACACGGCTGGCCTGGCGCTCTTAAATGTCAACTCTGAGACAGGCAGCACGCTGCAGAAGGTCTGTGTGTGGGCCCGCACACGAGTGAATTCCCCCCTGATCCCTGAGGACACACCCTCTATGGCAGCTGCGTGGGGGACTCATTTCCTTTCACTTAAAAAAAATTCTTTTTTAAATGAAGTAGGCTCCACATATAACATGGGGCTTGAACTCACAGGCCCGAGTCACATGCTCTACTGATGGAGCCAGCCGGGCGCCCAGACTCACCACTTCTGATGAAGGCTCAAGACACAGGGTATGAGGTCTTCACAAGAGAATCCGGTGATGTCCCACAACCTTGTGGTCCAGGGCTGTGCTGGAGAGGAAAGCAGGAATGGGGGGCGGTGTTCTGACGGCCCCTCACGTCCCACTGCCCCAGTGGTTGTGTGTGGAGTTTTCTGGAGCTCAGTGTTAAAAACGCCCCAAAAACAGAGCCTGTGTGCTCACTGTCAACAGTGTGGGAGATACTTAAGCTAGAACATCTCTTAATTTCACCCCCACAGAATGGCTTTTAGTCCATTCTCGTGTCTCCTCCAGGAAAGACGGGCAATGCCTGTTCTCCATCTCCATTGTGAGAATCGTGTCCCGCCTTCTGGAATCCCCAGTCCCTGGGTTGGCTCCTGCTGAAGAGCAGACAGGAGGGCAGGCTCCTTACTCTGTCCGTGGGTCAGCCGCGCGAGCAGCAGAGCGGCCGCGGCCAAACAGGCCGGAGCATAGGCGGCCAGGCTGGTGTGCAGCAGGGACAGCTCACACAGGAAGCCACACAGATGCTGGGTTCTTGGGGCCTCAGGGACCAGCGTCAGCAGGACGTCCTTGTAATCAACCACAGTGGGGACCTGGACGGGACCGGGAGGTGGGGTCTTGTGGGGTTTTGGCACGTGATCACGGTGGCTGGCCCCACCAGTGTTCACACTGGACACCAGGGTGTGGCGGTGATGAGCCCTAGCCCTGGCCTCTTGCCCTCTGGATCCAGGAGGACTTTCCAGAGCAGGAAGCTCAATGCCATGGAGGGGCCCTTGATTCCTCCTGTCCCCTCCCCTGACTTCAATTCTGATTTAAAAGGAAAAAGCATAGGGCTGACTCATCTTTGACAAAGCAGGAAAGAATATCCAATGGAATAAAGACAGTCTCTTTAGCAAATGGTGCTGGGAAAACTGGACAGCGACATGCAGAAGAATGAACCTGGACCACTTTTACACCAGACACAAAAATAAACTCAAAATGGATGAAAGACCTAAATGTAAGACAGGAAGCCACCAAAATCCTCGAGGAGAAAGCAGGCAAAAACCTCTTTGACCTTGGCTACAGTAACTTCTTACTCAACACATCTCCGGAGGCAAGGGAAACAAAAGCAAAAATGAACTACTGGGACCTCATCAAAATAAAAAGCTGCTGCACAGTGAAGGAATCAGTCAGCAAAACTAAAAGGCAACCGACAGAATGGGAGAAGGTATTTGCAAATGACATATCAGATAAAGGGCTTATATCCAAAACCCATACAGAACTTATCAAACTCAACACCCAAAAAACAAATAATCCAGCAAAGAAATGGCCAAAGGACATGAACAGACACTTCTCCAAAGAAGACATCCCGATGGCCAACCGACATATGAAAAAATGCTCAACATCGCTTATCATCAGGGAAAGACAAACCAAAACCACAATGAGATACCACCTCACACCTGTCAGAATGGCTCACGTTAACAACTCAGGCAACAACAGATGTTTGGCGAGGAGGCAGAGAAAGAGAATCTCTTTTGCATTGTTGGTGGGAATGCAAGCTGGTGTAACCACTCTGGAAAACAGCATGGAGCTTTCTCAAAAAACTAAAAATAGAACCACCCTACGACCCAGCAACTGCACTACTAGGTATTTATCCAAGGGATACAGGTGTGCTGTTTCAAAGGGACACAAGCACCCCCCATGTTTATAGCAGCACTATCGACAATAGCCAAAGTATGGAAAGAGCCCAAATGTCCATCGATGGATGAATGGATAAAGATGATGTGGTATATACACATAATGGAGTATTACTCGGCGATCAAAAAGAATGAAATGTTGCCATTTGCAGCTACGTGGATGGAACTGGAGAGTATTACGCTAAGTGAAATTAGTCAGAGAAAGACAAAAATCATAGGACTTCACTCATATGAGGACTTTAAGAGACAAAAAAGATGAACCTAAGGGAAAGGAAACAAAAATAATATCAAAACAGGGAGGGGACAAAAGAGAAGAGACTCTTAAATATGGAGAACAAACAGAGGGTTACTGAAGGGGGTGTGGGGGGGACAGGCTAAATGGGGAAGGGGCATCAAGGAATCTACTCCTGAAATTATTGTTGCACTACATGCTGACTTTGATGTAAATTAAAAAACAAATAAATAATAAAAGAACATAAATACATAAAACTAAAAAAGTAAACGGCAAACGGCCACTTACTCGAATCCTCCCTTCCAGGGCAGAGATGATCTCTCCCATCATCCTCACCAGGTCTTCATACTTGTAGGTGTTGTCCGTGAGCCAAACTGCCTCTCGGATTGTCAGGATCTCTCTGCTGATGAACCTAGAACATCAAGAAGGGGTCTGAGCACGGAGTCTGCTATCCTTGCAGGCCACGGTCACATGAGGCCCCAATGCCAGAGGGGTCAAAGAGCGAGAGGACCCGAAGAGGTCGCGTGGCCTGGCCTAAGGGTCTGCGGAGGAGGAGGGACCAAGGCTGGCAGTGGGAGTGGCCGGGCTGCCAGGCACGGAGGCGTTTCTGTGAAAGGCACCCACGGATGACCTGCCCGGTTGATCCTCTTAATGACCTGAGGATGACAGCAGCTTCTACGGAGCAGAAACAACAGTTTAGACCCAGAAGGCAGGTGAGCCGGCAGAGCCGGAGCTGCGGGGTGTCTGAAGGTCTGTGCTCAGCACGGGGTCTGGCCGCAGGAATCCTGGGTGTCCCTCGTCAGCCAGCCACCCTGTTCTCTCCTCTGCAGCAGCACCAGGGAGCAGGGAGCGTGCCGGTCCGGTGACCTGCCGGGAAGGGAGCAGGGCCCGGCCCGTGGCCGCTCCGTCCTGGGGGCCCTGCAGCCGGCCCACTTGCCGTCAGCTTGACAGAGCGAGATGGGAGGTGTGGGGACTGCAGGTGCACGAGGCACGAGGCCGGAGCGGGGCCGATGGGGGCTGGGCACATGGAGCACTCAGGGAGAGGCTGAGGCAGGCGCTGCCCTGAGCAGGGGTGGGGCATCTCCTCTAGGATCTTCTTAAAAAACATCTCGCCACTGGCCCATCGGTGGTCCGGGATTTTGGTGACTGATTGCTAGGATGTAATTACCCTGCTCAAACATGAGAAGGCGGGGCCTGTCTGTTCAGCCACCTCTGGTGACGCTGGGTCCACCGAGCACGCCGGGCGCGGGGGGAAGGTTGGCGTGTGGCTGCCTGCTGGCGGCCCCGAGGCCATGCTGGTCTACAGACCACAACTCCAGCTCTCGTCACGGCCATGTGACCAAGATTGCTGCAAGTGGTCACGCTGGCCTCAGGGGTCACGGGGGATGGCAGAGAGTAAGACGGGAGCTGGGGCTCTCCGTGACCTTGTGACATGGGAAAATTACCCCAACGGCATCGGCCTGGAGCCCTTGTCTCTGGGTCACTAAGCAAGAGAAGTTGGCATCTCGAGTTCACGCCGCCGCGTGTGGCCATCTGTGCCTCACCCCCCAAGGTCTACAGAGCAGGACGGTCAGCCTGCAGAGCCCTGCCCAGGGGGACCGGCAGGCCATGCGGGGGTGTCTGGTGTAGGGAAACAAGGACACGCACGATGTGTGGTACAATCACTGTCCACACCGCTTCTGAAGGTAAAGGCGGGCTAACAGGTACTGGCTGAAGGACCGCAGGTTTAGGTAGAACGGAAGATGGTTCCACTGGAAGAGTCCGAGCCGCCGGAGTGCAGACAGCTGTGTAAGGAGATGCCCTGTCTACGTGGCGGGGGTCAGCTGGGGGCGTGAGACCACCAGTTGCAGGTGTCGGACGACACAGCCTTGAGAACTGGACTGCCGCGAAGTGGTCTCTCCCTGACCCCGGGACCCCGGGGCAACCCACTGGGCCCGTCCCTCGGTGCCGTGTAATCCTCAGGAGCCAGGGGAGGAGGGGCCCGGCCTGAACCTGCCCGAGCGAGGCCCAGTTCTGGGGTCCTGCTCGCCAAAGTTCACGTCTGCCATCCCCACGTGGGATAACTATGCTGTGTGGGCACTCCCTAAAATTAAGACCCCCATCTAATGAGGTGGGACACTGAAAGGCCAGCCTGTCGTGTGTCATCCCACAGGCCCTGCTCCGGGGGCCCCGTACCGGGTGCAGATGACCATGCAGGCGATGCCCAGCAGCTGGAGCCTGTACCGAGGCACGAGCCTCCTCCGCAGGTACCGGTCCACGCACTCCACAGTCAGGTGCAGGCACAGGCTCGTGAAGTCCTTCATGGTGGCGACCTCCACCAGCCAGTCAATCAGGATGTACCTGCAGGGAGAGCACCAGCCCTGGAAACTCGGGCGCACATTTGTGAGCGTCCCGTTCTCGCCTGGCCCGTCCGTCCTGAGGGAGTGAGCCGGTCTTCGGCAGCATTGCCCGTTGACCCAGGAACTTGTCCCAGCCTCAGGTGCGGGGCAGGCCCCAGGTCTCCCACCTTTGTCCTTGGGAGGAAGCTGGGCTCACACATCTGTGTACCCTGCCTTCTCCCACAGCCACTGCCAGGTACCGAATGAGCCCAGACACGGGTTAGGGGTAAGGTGGGTCCACCTCGTAGAGTGGGGACGGACAAAGATCCCAGGAATGGGGAAAAGTCGCTTGAAGGGAGCAAGACCTGTGGCCCTCCTGCAAACCCACATTCTCCCCGAGGAGCAGCTCACCCATGGGGTCATTTCTCACGACCCTCTGCTGCGGGGAAAGAACTGGCAAGAAGCTAAAGGGGGAGGACGCATGGAGCCTGGCAGAGGTTCTCGGGCACCCAGCAACTCTGACGGAGCTGACAGATGCAGGATCCTCCTCGAGGGGCTAAACCCAGGGCCAGAGACGTCACGCGGGAGGGCTGGGGGCCACGGCAAGGACACCCCGGTAGAGTCAGTGCCTTTCTGAACAAAAGAGAGGAGACCCGGGTCTCTAAGCAGAGGGAAAAGAGGGACCAGAAGTGAGAGAGCAAAGGAAGATGAAGCTGTGGGTTCCGGGCAAATGTTCCAGGTGCCGGGCAGAAGCACCCGTCATAGGCAGAGGGGAGGAGGGAAGGGTGGGGCCGAGGTGGTGGAGGAGAATGGGGAAGGAGAGGAACCTGTGTTTCCTCCAGGACGAGGAAGACCACTTGAGCGCCAGGTGTTTGGGGCTTAGACCAGCCACTACGGGAACAGAGAGGAAGCTGCCTTACCCGACTCAGCAACATTAACGATTTGAGTTACGAAAACAAACCGAGCAAATTGTGCACTTCAAAATGGCTAGATCTGGGGCACCTGGGCGGCTCAGTCCGTTGAGCATCTGACTCTTAATTCCAACTCAAGTCATGATCTCACGGTTCGCTGGGATGGAGACCAGTGTGGAGATCTGTGCTGACGGCACGGAGCCTGCTTGGGATTCTCTCTCTCTCTCTCTCT